ATACATACATATATATATACACACATACACACACACACACACACACACACACACATATATACATACATATACTCACTCACACAGATACACACATTCACGCAGGGTATACACGCCTCCACACACACACATACACACACACACACACACACCACTAATTACACTTACCTCCTTTTACAAGATAGTTAGACCCGTTGCTCGGGGAGCTGTGAGTTGCTATGGAGATGGGTGGGCATTGTTATGGGATGGAAGGGTGGGGATGTCGGGCGGGGTAAAGGGGTGAGGAAGGGAGTTCTGGGATTGGTTGGTGTGTACCTGTGGAGGCTCTCTGAGGTCAGGTTGTGTCTGACCTTTCACCCCTGGCACCCACAGCCAAAGGTAGCTCGCACACCGACCAAAGCAGGATTTGCTGGGTGCATTTGTTGTTTGTGTGTGTGTGTGTGTGTGTGTGTGAGCACGTGAGAATAACTGGGTGAGAAAGAGGAGTTAAGTGACGGACCCTGGAGTGTGGCCCAAACTCTGCTTTTTATGTTGAAATGTCCCAAAGACGTGATAATGTGAAAATAGAGTGACTGTCTCTACTGAGCTGTTCTTGGGACATGTGAATGGACGTGTGTGTGTGTGTGTGTGTGTGTTTGAGAGCGAGTGTGCGTTTGTCTTTTCCCTCCCTCCTACACACTTTACGCCTGAGTGTAGTCAACGATTTTCTTTCTGCTTTGGCAAAAGTGTCCATTTTGCATCTCAGTCTTTGCCAGAACAGACGAAAGGCGGCGCCGCCACCCCCCACCATGACCCCCTTTTCCCTTTCACCAAGAGGAGAGATGGCCTGGCTGCATGCATATTTTAGTTCTTCGACTTATTCCTCCAGCTGTGGTTATATTTAACCTTCAACACTAATACCATTTTTATTTCTCTTAACCCTGAATATTTAAGTACCTGTGAACTTTTTTTTCTTTTTAGTTGGGTTTTTAAGCGTGACTGGCTGCCTGTGTATGTGTGTGTGTGTGTGTAAACAGATCATAACTGAGATTCTTGTGAACATGTCCCTGTGTGAAGAACAGTACAATCCTCAAGGACATGACAAGCGAGGCTGGATTACCCACAAGCCCTCAGGTTCACTGTGTGTCCATTGCTTGTTGCTAATTTGATTATTTGCACCCATTAAGAACAATAACAACTGAGGCCTGCATTACTAAATTAGCTTAATTATTTGAGTTTATATCATGCCCATAGGGGGTGTTTTTCCTTTTTTATTTTTTATTTTAAGTTTTGCCTATTTAACGATTTGTTTTGTTCAAAGACATTTATTAATTATAGGCGGGCCAATGTTACGCCTATTGCAGCTGTATCCATGTGTGTGTCGGTCCAATAAGCAACAACTGAGTGTGAGATCATTGAGTTTGTGCACCAGAGAGCACTGACGAGTTGAATATTCACGTGTTTAATGTCCCACTCAACATGTATCTTGGTGACAGTTATCTGTATCAAGATCGTCCAGTATTAGTCGGACTGCAGTAGTGATATCTTAAACATTTTCCCCAGTCACTGGATATCTCATTTCCTGTTTCACGAGAGAAAGACTTTTTTGACATGCATTTGATCAAATCAAAGTAATATCAGTTACAGCTCTGACCCACTGTTATAAATGAGGTCCTTTGGTCGATTTCTTTCATCAAATTAGCACAAACTAACCGACATACAGAAAACCTGGACCAGACAGTGTTCCAGTATGAGAGTACTGGGTGGACTGTGTGAGCTGTGAGGGTCAACGGGGGGCCCAACGGCTGATTTTTGCTCTGAGGCTCACGAGGACGAGTCGGCAGCGAGGGGGACGCAGAGTCTGAGGGATGTGGACTTCTTCTACGGCCCTCTGGAGAAGACATTTCTGGAAGATCTGACTTTGGGGTGGTGATGGATGTGTGTGTGCGTGTGTTTGTGTGTGGCAGGGGTGGGGACGGGGAGGGGGGTTTACCTTACCACGGTGACATATTAGTGTTAGACTTACTTGAACGAGAAGATGTTACTTAAGTAGATCCTACTGTAAAGCAGATAGATCTCTCTCCTCCTGACCTCTACTTCCTGTATTTCTGTGTTTTAATGCTTCGTCTCTATGCCAGTGGACTCACTCATCTCACTATGGCTGTACATGTGCCTTTTATTAAAGATCATGGAACCTGCACTGCTGCCTGTGTGTGTGTGCGCGCGTGTGTCTGTGTGAGTGTAGAAAGTTTAAGGGAAGAACTGGCTTTGTGAAACCGTTGATCTATATACATTTTGCATTCAATACCGCAGTTATGAAATCTAAATTTAATTTTAAAGCCTTGTGCGGATGATGGATATGTTTCATTGAATTTGATGCGGAGGATATGAATCACTTTCAGTACAAAATGAATTACCCGGCTTGACTTGACTTATTGGTTATTGCTTTGCAGGAAAGTAGACATATTGCAGTGGTGTAAAATGTCGGCCGCCCGAAGGGAGAACATCTCATCGTGTAATCGTTCTGTATGTAAAGACTAATATAGTTTTGAGACGTATTTAGTTGCTTATGGAGCGGTATTTCTGAGCAGACATCTGACATGACACAGCAGGAAAAGCACAGGTGTAAACAATAACAATTAGTGAGCTGCATTCAGTTTTAGGGTTCGTGGTATTGTGCATGTTGGGACTGGGACGTTTGAATAGAGCAGTCATTGTTAATGTTATTAGTAACACCTGTGCTCTTCCTGCTACCACAGGTTAAAATGTAAAATGTTTAAATGAATGTACATTATTTTACCATTGATAGAAATAGAGTTGGAAATGATTAGTAGTAAGTCAACGTGAAATTAATTGGCAATAATTTTGATAATTAATCATTTAGTTAATCTTTCATACAAAAAATGCCAAAAGTTTATTAATTCCAGCTTCTCAAAAGAGAGAATTTGTTACATGACTGCTTACTAAATTTAGCTTTGTCTCCTGTGATATTAAACTTCAGATTTGAGGGTTCTGGGCAGTTTTTCGGACATAGCTATCAGGGCCATTGTGATAGACATCTTATAGATTTAATAATGAATCCGTTAATTGTGAAAATACTAAATACAAAGAAATATGAGCTGCAGCTGTCCAAACTGATGAGCCAGTGCAGAAGAGGTGCTGCTTCCCATGTGAGGACCCTGCACTGCGAGTGTTTGAGCAGGAGGGGGCACTAAAGCCTTATAGTGAGACTCTTACAGTGGTTAGACGGAGTATGGTAACTGACAATGGTCTCTGCTCTTTGTAGGATTTGCAACAATTTGCCACATTGACTTGTTTATATAAGAGTGAGAATCTGAACAGTGTTGCTCATCTTGTCAAACAACTGTATAAAAAACTGCGTGAGCATCAGTCGCCCAATAACATCAAGATTCCCCTAAAAATAAATAACCTTAACGATCAACCAGGTTGATGCAAAATCTTTCAGATATTAGGACAATATAATATCATTTTCATCTCCCATTCATGAACTCAGTGGTACGTTAACAACCCACATCTCTGCTTTCTCACAGCGCCACTGCTGTACTGTTGTGAACAGAAAGTTTATCCTAATGTACTTTATTTCCCAGTGTATGTATCTCGCCACACCTGGATTAGCATCGTCATGAACATTAGAGGAAACAAAGAGCCAGGATGATATAGAAATGTGACATCATCAATCCAGTCACAGCACTTTATTCTATTCACACAGTGCATTTCCTTAAAACACAATATATAATTTAATATCAATATAAAACTCCATTTGTGTATATAAATTATGCATTCAATACAGCAGCTCTGATATATACTATTAAGCTTTGGTACAGTGGTACATTTATGTACGTCAGTCAGTGGGTGTATGTTGTGTGTGTGTGCACATGCTTGTTATGAGTGTGAATGACACCCTGTGGGCATCGTCAGGAAGAAGGTGGGTGTAG